GCAACGCAATGCACATGAAGATATGACAAAATGCAACACACAAGCAAATTACATGGCAACAACAGCGAATAACTGGCTGACACCTGGCGCATCGAATCCGGGGCGTTACACCCTGTTGGCTGACCAGGTGACCCACCCTAACCAGTTGGCCTTCATTAAGGGCCGGTACATCCTGGATGGGGTCCTTGTCCTTCATGAAATCCTTCATGAGGTCCGCATCAAATGCCTCAAGGCGGTTTTTCTAAAGATTGATTTCCACAAGGCGTACGATACGGTTAGCTGGTCCTTTCTCCGGGAAGTCCTTCTTCAGAAGGGCTTCGATGACCAGTGGATCACTAGAGTCATGCAAATGGTCTCTTGCGATCGCACGGCGGTCAACATCAACGGTGAGATTGGCCCTTTCTTCTCCACCCTTTGTGGGGTTCGTCAAGGCGACCCCTTCTCCCCGTTCCTGTTCAATATGGTAGTAGACGCTCTTGCCTCCATCCTAGATAAGGCAAAAGCCGCTGGCCACATTCGTGGGATTACTCCCCACCTTTCCGGGTGCTCTGGGATCTCCATTCTCCAATATGCTGACGACACTATCATCATGGTCAAAGGCTCGGAGGTGGACATCGCCAACCTCAAGTTCCTCCTTCTCTGCTTCCAACAGATGTCGGGCCTCAAGATCAACTTTGACAAGAGTGATGTTATGGTGATGGGATACTCCCCCTCTGAGTCTATGGCCATTGCCAACAGACTTAATTGCCGCCTGGGCTCCTTCCCCACCTCCTACGTAGGGACGCCCATTAGTGATTCGCGGCTCTCCGTCGCGGACTTGCGCCCCTCCGTGGCCAAGCTCCAAACTCGATGCGAGCCCTGGCAGGGGAGGTGGCTGTCCAAGGCCGCCCGGACTATTCTCATCAACTCATCCCTCTCCGGCCTCCTCTTGTTTCTTATGAGCTTCTACAGCCTCCACGAGTCTCTCCACAAGGAGATCACCAAGATCCAGTCCCGCTTTTACTGGGACTGGAGATAATGACAGGCAGAAGTACCATATGGTCAGCTGGCCCGACATTTGCAAGCCTAGGGAGCAAGGTGGCCTGGGCATTATGTGCTCTAAAAGGATGAATATTGCCCTCCTCTCCCGTTGGCTTTGGCGCATCGCGCAAGGTCAAGGTGGCCTCTGGCTTGACATTATCCGGACTAAATACCTGCGTGGACAACCCCTAGCCTTCTGCCAGAAATCAGGCGGCTCTCAGTTCTGGCAGTCCATTGTCCAGCTTCTCCCGGTCCTCCGCATAGGAACCTCCATCTCGGTGGGTTCCGGTCTCTCGACGCTCTTCTGGTTTGATCGTTGGGCCGGGGACTCTCCCTTTGCGGCCCGCTTCCCTGTCCTCTTCTCTATCTCCGTCGATCCCATGATCTCTGTTGATAGGGCCCTTCTTGACTTAGGGCGCCTTGCTTTTCGACGGCCTTTTGGGCCCGCGGAATCCACCGCCTGGCGTGAGTTGCTTGACTGCGTTGCTCTCCATGAGCCTTTGGTGGATGGTGGCCCTGACCTGGTGCGCTGGCGCCTTGAGCCGTCGGGCCAGTTCTCCATCAAGTCGCTCTACCTGGCCATTGCCCCCTCCTCCGCCCCCTTCCCCTGTCGATGGTTTGGTCCATCCGCGTACCCCTGAAGATTTGCATCTTCATGTGGCAATGGATTCGCGGTCGGGTCCCGTCCAGGGTGGAGGTCCGCAAGCGCAATGGCCCGGGTACTGGCATCTGTCCGCTCTGTGGTGTTCCCGAAGACTCGAACCACATTTTCTTCTCTTGCGTCTCCGCCCAGTTCCTTTGGAGCTGCTTTCCCGAGGTGGTCGGTGGAAGTTGGTGCCACACCAATTTCCCGGACTTATTTGCTGAACTCCGGCTGTCCCCCGTGTCCTCTCGCCACATTAGGTGGCTTGAGGTTGGGATCCTCGCCTGGACCCTCTGGACTGTTCGCATTGTGATCCAGCGTACTCCCCTTCGACGGGCTACTGACGCGCTCTTCAAACTTTCGGGTTTCTTGCAGCTTTGGCGGTCGCTTAGCCGCCCCCCCGGACCGCGACGCCATCTCAGCCTTCATCGCCGACCTCCGCTCGATGGTCGTCCGCCTGTCGCCGCCGCCTCCTCCGCCACCGCCGGATCCAGACTAGAGGCTTCCTTCGACCGGTGTGTGATGTTTTCTTTTTATTTTTCTGGGCTTATTGAGCTGTGCCCTCAGCAGAACCTGTGTACTTTGCCGTGAGACTTGGGTGTGTGTGTGTGTGTGGACATGCTTCTGTTTGTATGCTCTGTGGCGGTTTGCTTTATATATAAAGCGGGGCGAAAGCCTTTTTCGGTAAGTCTATCAGTAGTTGTATTGTTTGAAAGACAGCATAACACTATTTGACATGAATGGGTTGGTTTCATAAAATTGAGTATACTCCAGAATACCAGATATTGGTAAAAGCATATATATTAAAGCAGTTCTTTACACATATACAATTATATGTTCTAGGATCTTGAGCAACGGAAAAACGTTTCAAGATATTGGTGGGATAAAAAAAGTTTCCGTCTCTAGGTATATCAATCAATGTAACATCAAGAGATGATTGCTAATTAATTTCTCTATTAATTATTAGAGTTCATATGTGTACAAGTTTAATCTCCCAAGTTTTACAATTTATAATTTATGTAATTATTGTATACGGTTTCTGTTATTTCTACATTTGATCCATTATAACTTGTTGCACAAGAAGGGGATAGAGTGAAATAGCGATTGATTTGATGCATATCTCATTTCCGTCATACAAAGAAGATATATAAATTTTGTCAATAACTACTACTAAGCAACTACTGTCGAGATTCTGTGATAGAAATAAATAATATGCAGCTTAATTTGATGAGGTTGTGTATACCCAAAGCCCAGTGGCTCTTCTCGCCTCCCCTCCCCAGTCCCCACCACCTCTCGCCACCAGGCCGACCCAGAGGCGGCCCAAGTCCAGCACCAACCCATTCCCACCCTGATCCGAGACCTCTCTGCTCTCCTCGTTCCTCTTTCGCTTGAACCCTAGAGGCGCGGCGACCGGGTGGCGGCGGATTGCTGCGGCGGGCGGGCGGCGGCGGAAGGCGGATTGCGGTGCGGGCGGCAGCCACCGTTGAGGCCAGCCGGCCACTGGCGGCGTCTGCAGCTCGGCGCGTCGCGGCCTCTCCCTTGCTGGGCGCCGCCGGCATCTTGGCAAGGGCGCATCGGCGTCCGGCGCTGCGGCGGCGGCCGGCGGCGCAGCGACCATCGGCCAGGAGGCAGGAGCAAGCGGCCAGCGGCGCACGGCCGCACGAGCACAGAGCACTGGCGCAAGCGCAAGGAGCAGGACTGCAGGAGCAGCCTGCATGCCAACTGGCCAAGTCCCCAAGTGGCCAACTGCGTTGAGATTAACAGCCAAGGTCAAAGGTGAGCACATTTGTCATTTGATAAACCAGCTACTAATGATTAGAGCCATGGAGGAACATATACTACTCCCTCCGTCCCATAATATAAAGAAGTTTTTGACACTACACTAGTGTCAAAAACGTTTTTATATTATGGGACGGAGGGAATAATGATTAGAGCTATTTTGTAATTTTTTAGATACTTTAATTTTAAGGACCGGTCTAGCGAGCGGCCGGCTGCTCACTATACTTTGCGAGCGGCCGGCTCAAAATTGCAAGTTTTGGTCCTCTAATAATTTATAAATAGCAATTATCTATTGTGTGTCTTTTTCTGTTAGTTAATGGATGTTTTTATTAGCATTAAATGCGTATAGCAAATGCGTACAGACTGGTCCGTGAAACACATTTATTTTCGTCTCTTAAATCTTTAAAAAGTCGTATCTTTTAAACCACACGTTGGAATTCAGATCCGTTTTCACCTTTGGGTTCATCGCGACGAGATCTTCGAAACTAGATCCCATATGGGTATGTTTCGACGAATATTTTTTTGATGCCAACTTTGGTGCTATATGGTGCAACTATAGTACTGCATTATGCAACTAGACTACATTGCCGTGCCAACTGAGTATATGTGTGTGTAACTAGTCCTGCCAACTAAATATTAATGCGTGTGCAACTAGTGTCCTGCCAACTAAACATCAATGTGTGTGCAACTAGACTATATTACAAGCCAACTAAGCATATGTGTGTGCAACTAGTCTTCCTGCCAACTAAACATCAATGTGTGCGCAACTAGACTACGTTACAAGCCAACTAAACAACAATGTGTGTGCAACTAGACTACATTATAAGCTATGATAATTCATATGCGACTATGCGGACCAGATTATGCAACTATGTGGCCATGTATGTGCCAACTAGGACTACTATGTGTGCAACGACAACTACTGAGGATGCAGCTCCAAAAAACTGGGTTTGAAAAAAATTGCACCATGCAGTACTAAAGTTGCACAAAGCAGTACTGAAGTTGCACAATACAGCGCCAAAGTTGGCATCAAAAAAATTTCGTCGAAACATATCCATGCGGGATCTAGTTTCGAAGATCTCGTCGCGATGAATCCAACGGTGAAGACGGATCTGAATTTCGACGTGTGGTTTAAAAGATACGACTTTTTAAAAATTAAAGTGGCCAAAATAAATGTGCGTGAATCTGTTTCCAGGACTAGTCCGTACGCATTTAATGCTAACAAAAAACATTCACTAGCTGACAAAAAAAGACACACATGTAAGTAACCAGCCCGGCCGCCCGTTCCTATGAAAAAGTGGGCGTGCACTTTTAAGATTTCAGGTAATTTTAATCTTCCTTTGTTTGATACGGCAGTCGGCGTTTCCCCGTTGGTTTTCTTGCAGTCGACTTGTAGTTCCTTTCCCAGTAATCCTCCTTCCACTCCAAGTCCTGGTCGGCTCCGACAGCGCGATTCCTTCCTCCTGGCGCTGCATATAGATCCGTATATAGATCCGTGGACAGAGCAAACGTCGATCGTCTGTCCTTACGGGCTACTGGCGCTGCAGTGGCGGCTCTCATGGCGCAGGGCGACGATCACCGGAAAATCATTGCCCCGAGTAAGCCTAGTTCTCCCCCTCTGTTGCTTCATGCAATACGTGATTAGTCGATGACCATGACCATGCTTGTTGGGTTGCAGATGGATCGGTTGCTTCAGCGAATAAAAGAAAAGGTTCGCCCTGTCAGCAAGATGGCGATCCTTATTTTCTAAAAAAAAACGGTGATGGTGATTCTCAAGCTGGCGGAACAACAATGGGATGCTCACTCCCGTACCTTCCAGAGGTATGTGCCACACAATTTTGATGATGGGTGGATTATCTTGCAGGCATGATATGCGGTTGTTAACTCAAATTCTTTGGACTATGTGAGCTAAATAGTATCTGTAAACAGAGAACAGATCTTTACTCTCCTAAAAAGATCAGTAGATTTCCTGTCTATCGTAAATCTAGATCACCTGCCAGGCTGCCATCTTGATGTATGGTTCCTATAGTTATCTTAGTTTCTCTTAAATTAGCATAGACTTCTCTTGAGTTCTTTGCTCCTTTAACCTATTTATAACATGCAATTGGCTATTTGCATGTGATGCTGTGCATTTTGGTTGGCACAATTGCACAACAAACAATATCATTGTCTACTCGGCTCTCTAATACCCTCAGTTAGGTAAATACTTTTGGATGCAATGCTCAATGTACATACCAAGGTTACATTCAGTTTCACTATCTACCTAAGCAATGCAGCAAGTCTTGTATGAATCATGTCAAGTTATATCCAGGGTAGAATGCTACTCCATGTAGTTCCACCGTTTTACTCTCTGGTTTAAGTAACAATTTAGTTTGACAATCCCAGTGTTAACATTCGGTTCCCATGCTTGCCCATGCAGGATATCTGGCATCATGTCCATTCTCTAATGCCACTGCGTGATGCTGCTCGTGCTGCTTGCCTGTCGCATGCCTTTCTACGATCCTGGAGGTGTTATCCCAACCTCACCTTCAATGAGGATGCACTTAGGCCTGAAGGATGTAGGTACAGTGGTCGTTTCAAAGACGCAGTTGACTGTATTATGAGAAATCACTCAGGCATTGGTGTGAAGATATTGGAGCTCCGACCATTTTGTATCGCTTATGACAATCTTAAAAGGTGGCTTCGGGTTGCTGTTAAACCAGGGATTGAAGAACTCAACCTTACGATTTGGCATCCATTAAAAGAGAACTGCAAGTTTCCCAGATCGCTTTTATCTGATGGGGTTAGGAACTCACTTCGGTGTCTTAAACTTGGTCGTTGTACCTTCCAACCCACAGCTGAACTCGGCCCCTTTCTAAACCTAACAAGTCTACGTCTTACACATGTGCGTATTACGGAGGATGAGTTACAGGGTCTTCTTTCGAATTCTCTTGCTTTAGAGAAGTTGGAACTGATTGGGTGCAAGGGAATAATTTGCCTGAGGATACCTTGTGAGCTTCAGCACTTCAGCTGCCTGAGGACTTCTGGATGCATGAGTCTGAAATTGATAGAGTGCAAAGCTCCAAATCTCTCCACTTTAGTCTTTTGCGGAAAACCAAAACTATTGCTTGGAGAAGCTTTGCAAATGAAGACATTACGCATATCACGTTCAGGTGTTATCTGTTATGCTCGTACTGAGCTGCCATCCATTATGCCAAATCTCGATACTCTTTACTTATGTTCCAGTGACGAGGTAATCTAAAACTTTTTGTGGTAGATGATTAGCAGTATGTGCACATCTGAGTAGTCATAGCTTGTGAATAATAATTTTAATATGACATGTGGCGTATTTGTTTATGCAGGTGGTCGATACACCAATGCTGCCTACCAGATTCCTCTGCCTCAAGCACCTGACCATTTATCTGATATCAGGACCCTCGCCTTATGACTATTTTTCTCTGGTTTCTTTCCTTGAAGCATCTCCTTCCTTGGAGACTTTGAGCTTGGATGTAAGATGTTTTTCGTTCTATCCTGCAAAGATGACTAATCGATCTATTGGCTCAATTAATTATTATTATTATTATCTTTATAGGTGTTGAAGAAACCTATGGATAATGAAACAGTTTTTGGACAATTCCCACATTTGAGGCAGATGACTGAAGATCGGCATTGCCACCTCAAGAATGTGAAGATCACAGGGTTCAGCTCTGCAAAAGGCTTGGTTGAGCTAACCTGTTATATCCTCAAGAACGCAGTGTCACTCGAGTTTCTTACATTGGACACCAATTGTGGTTCTACTAGCAGGTGTTCTGACAATGGAATTGGGCGGTGCCCCTCCAAGGGCAACGGTCTAAGGGAAGCTTGTAGAGTGCTTCGGGCTATTAGAACATACATTGAGAATAAAGTTCCTGAAAGAGTTAAGTTTACTGTTGTGGATCCTTGTAGCCGATGCCATAAGTAGTCATAATCACTTGCATCATGTATGATATTCCTAATTTAATTTAATGTACCATGATGTGTTTCTTGATCAAGCTATTGCAGTTGAGCAAATGTGGAACCCTTTTTAGTTTTAATTTGAGATGAAACTTAGTTTGTTTGTTGTGCTTGTGCCCAACAATTGGCTGTCAGTGAGGTCTTGTCATGACAACAGGGCCGACCATCTATGCAAAGAACGAGTAATGGCAGCACCTCGCTCACCACTAGATCTATGAGCGAGTGTTACCACGGCAGCCTGAACGTGTCCACTCTTTCCCTCAAACACGCAGGAGGACAGTTCCAAGGTCGAATTGATATGGTAACCATGAGAAATAATGGCCATCAAGCTTAATATAGTATTGAATCCTATGATCATCCAAAATAAACAATTATTCTCAGATCTGAACCTTTACAATTTTATTATTTCAGATGATGGAATTATTATACACTTGTGGTATACTGTACGTAGTAGTCTTTTTTTTTTTTTTGCAATCCTGTACGTAGTAGTCTGATAGCCTAAATGATTTGGCGCGATGTGTACGGTGAAAATAAGTTTGAAACAGGATTGTTTTTAAAATATTGATTAAAAAAGGATTAAATTTAAAAAAAAGGTCCGAGGCGGGTTGGGGCCATTGGGATGCTTAGTTTGCAGATTGGGAACCCATGATTGAAGGGAGTCTAATCCAGGAAGAACATGTGCCGATGATTGATGTGCTCTCTGCAGCCTGGAAACGGGAGGCCTCTCTGTCTGGTCCAGTGACTGGTGTGCACCAACTGTTTGGAGAGATGGTAACCAGCAGCCAGCACAAGGAAGAAGAAGAAGAATAAGAAGCGCACGCGGCGGCCTTGGGATCTCATCATTTACATGCCCGTGCGCCTGCCTCCGAATTATCGCCTCTCTTTCACGCACTATAATTGCGGCTTTCTCCTTTACAGCATCATCCATTAAGACTAGCCACAGTGGGAGTAACTTCAGCAGTAACATCGAGTCCAACTCTGCAAATTTGCTTATGTGGCAGTGAGTTGATGAGGAGAGAGATAGTTATAGTAACTTAGCTAGTTACTGTAACATCACATGTCCCAATGCAATATGAGTCTATAACCTAATAAATGAAGTTTTGCATGTTACCACACTTATGTTACTACCCACTATGAAGATAGTAATATAGTCTAGGGATATGTGTATGTTACTACTGTATATTACTCATCATTGTGGCTAGTCTGAAACACCTCACCTCACCCCTCAACAGTGGTAAAGATTGGGGGCCGGACAGCCGGACAGTGATGCTTTATGCTTGCCTCCAGATTAAGCTCACATCAACACATCATCAGAGCATCTCCAACAGCCGCCGAACGTGCCGCGCGCTAAAAACTACTTTGCCGCGCGCCCATCATCTGATTTGGCGCGGCGTGCAGCGCCAGCTCCAGCAGCCGCGCAAAAATGCAGTGCGCGCGCAGCTCCAGCAGTGCGCAAAAATGCAGCGCGCGCGACTCTCGCATAAACAACATATGCATTCCAAAACAGAAGCAAAAAGATCAAACACAAACAAAAATGAATCGAAATAAATAGTTCAATTTCGTTATTACAACTCAAACAAACAGTTTATTGTTCAATATAACAAATAGTGCAATAAACACAACAAATAGTTCAACAATACAATATCAAACGCACAAATCATGATGCTCTTTGTCGTCCATTCCATGCCCATCACTCCTTAATGAGATCCTTCTGAAGATCGTTATGCGCTGCGGGACGTCGAATGGCATGATAAGAGGCAACAAAACGGGCCACCCTTTCAGCCCTCCATCGCACTCGCACGGGATGTCCCAAGAGCTCATACTGAGAGTAGTCTACATCTTGGCCACGCTCATTCTCGATGATCATGTTATGCATGATCACACAAGCGTGCATGATGTACTAAAGCATTTTCTGATCCCAAAATCTAGTCGGTCCTCTCACAATAGCAAATTGGGCTTGCAAAATCCCAAAAGCTCTCTCCACATCTTTTCTAGCCGCCGCCTGAGCATTGTGGAAATCAAGATTTTTCTTACCTTCCGGCTTTTTCAACGGCTTCACAAAGGTTTGCCATTTTGGATAGATGCCATCCGCTAGATAATAGCCATAGTTGTATGTACGACCATTTGCTACAAACTGCACCGGTGACAAATCACCATTTGCAATCGTACTCATCAGTGGTGACCGGTTGACAACATTGATGTCATTCAAAGATCCAGGCATTCCAAAGAATGCATGCCAAATCCAAGTCTCTTGATCGGCCACCGCTTCAAGGATTATAGTGGAACCCTTTTTTTGGCCGTGGAATTGCCCATGCCATGCCTTTGGACAATTCTTCCAACTCCAATGCATGCAATCTATTGAGCCAATCATACCAGGAAAGCTGCGAGCTTTGTTCATCTCCAATAGCCTTGCGGTGTCTTCAGCATTGAGAGATCTCAAATACTTCTGGCCAAACACTTGCACAATTCCAACTGCGAAGCGCTTGACACACATGATGGCTTGGCTCTCACCCATAGCCAAGTGATCATCAACTAAATCAGCAGGTATACCGTATGCCAACATACGCAAAGCGGCTGTCACCTTCTGAAAGGTGCTATGCCCGAGCTCTCCGGCGGCATTCCTCCTTTGCTGAATAAACCGGTCATGGCTCGCTAGTTTCTCTGCAATGCGCCTGAACAACTCGGTGCTCATCCTAAACCAGCGACGAAAGTACGACTTCGGGTATGTGGGATTCTCCATGAAATAGTGCCTCATCAATCTGTTATGGGCATCAATCCTATCCCACCAAATTTTATGCCGACCCATAACCGAACCACCGTGCTTCGGTTTTTTATTGATGTTCATAGCTAGGATCATTGCAAGATCCTCCTCCTCTTCCATATCAAATTATTCTTCGGAAGAATCATACGACGAACTCATCTACAATGTTCAATACTATGCTATAAAAACTACAATCAACATGCGCCAAATTCATGAAGTTTGAGCAATACATACCTTGCAGGTGTTTTGTCGAACACCTTGCGGGCGCCGAGCGGCAGCGAGCACCCGGGCGCTGTTCGTCGGAGGACGGACGTGCGCGAGGGGCGGCGGTGACTAGAGGGGGCCAGAGGAAGCCGTCGTGGCGCGGGGATAGGCCGGGGAAGCGTCGGAACGGTCGTCGGATGGCGCGGGCGGCGGTGGCACCACGGCTGAGGGGGGTGAGTTGCGAGCGAGCGTGCGAGAGTGCAGCACGCGGGAGCGGGCGCAGCAAATAAGCGGCGCGCGATGGAGTTTCGGCCCGCGCGCTGAACTAGATATGCCACGCGCGTGGTTTTTGCGCGCCCGCTGGAGCCACTATACCGGTTGCGCGCGCGCTAAAATGGGCAATTTTGCGGCGCGACGCTAGTTTGGCGCGGCTATTGGAGATGCTCTCAGCTAGTACTAAGCAGGATTTAACCGCACATGTGTGTCAATTGTCACCCTCTACTAATAGTAGTTGTCAAGTGATATTGCCATGGCGCCATGTCAGGCACGAGGCATCTTACAATTTGTAAAACGTAGGTTTTGGGGGAACTGGCTCAACCCTCAAAGGGGTGGCCTATCACATATATACATAATGATGACATACAAGTCCAATACCAATAAGGTATGATTTACACAGTAGGGCTACAATACGAAGTCTAACACCCTCCCTCAATCTCAACTCACTCCTGAAGTATCTAGGAGGTTGAGATTGCGCCTACAGACCTCAAACATGGGAGAAGGTAGAGGCTTGGTGAAGATGTCTGCAAGTTGATCTTTTGAAGAGATAAACCTGACTTGTAGTAGCTTCTGTGCAACACGTTCCCTCACAAAATGATAGTCAATCTCAATGTGTTTAGTCCGTGCATGGAACACCGGGTTTGATGACAGAAACGTAGCACCGATGTTGTCGCACCAAAGGACCGAAGGATGTGGTTGAGCAACTCCTAGCTCTCGAAGTAGGGACTCAATCCATATAAGTTCGGCAGTCGCATTGGTAACCGACTTGTACTCAGCTTCTGTGCTGCTGCGGGAAACAGTGGCTTGCTTGCGTGCACTCCAGGCGATCAGATTAGGACCCAAGAACACAACATGTCCCCCCGTGGATCGCCTGTCATCTGGACACCCAGCCCAATCAGCATCAGAGAATACAGAAAGAACTCTGGAGGAACTGGGGCGCAGGTGAAGACCAAAGGAGACAGTGAGACGCACATAACATAGTATGTGCTTCATAGCAGATCAGTGTACATCAGTAGGAGCATGAAGATACTGGCACACCATGTTAACCGCAAAGGAGAGATCAGGACGCGTGATCTTCAGATACTGCAGGCCACCAACAATACTCCTGTACTCAGTAGCATCCTCAGGAGAGAGAAGAGCACCATCAACAGCAGAAAGGGTGTCAGTGGAGGACATGGGCGTAGGGGATGGCTTGCACTTGAGCATACCAGCACGGCGCAAGAGATCAAAAGAGAGTACTTCTTCTGGGTGAGATCCAAACTGCCACGAGACTGATGAGCGACCTCGATACCCAGGAAGAAATGAAGCTGTCCCAAATCCTTAACTGCAAAATCACGACCAAGTGCAGTCACAATGCCATCAGCAGCCATCGGAGATGAGCTCACCAGGACAATATCATCCACATACACAAGGAGGTACATGGTCACACTCGGTCGCTGAAACAAGAACAGTGAAGTATCAGTCGTTGAAGGAATGAACCCATGAGTGCATAGAGCTGAAGCCAGGCGAGCATGCCAGGCACGGGGAGCCTACTTCAGTCCATATATGGCCTTCGTCAGATGACAGAGATGATGAGGTTGAGTGTGATCAACAAATCCAGGTGGCTGCCGCATGTAAACCTCTTCTTCAAGCAATCCATGAAGAAAAGCATTCTGCACATCAAGCTGGCGGAGAGACCATCCGCGAGAAACTGCCAGAGACAGAAGAAGTCAAATAGTGGTAGGGTT